GAAGAGGCGGCATAATGATTACAGGGAAGCAAAAGTACTGCCCCGCCCATGTACACTTGTATTGACAATTACATTCCAAAGTGAACTTGATATTAAACAAAACCATGGCATCTGTTCTGTTTGAGGTTATAACTAGTGCGTCACCGATATAACAGCGATAAAACACTGTGCATTTGAGCTGGCTCTGTCGAGTTTTGACCGTATTTACACATGCAAAGCTTTTGACTTCAGTCTTACAAAGTTGGATTGATAATAACCCTGTTCTACAGAGTTCATCGTCTGCGTAGTCCGGAAAGAGAACTTAGGGAATTGGCAAATGCTTTGTCCACTAATGACTACTCTTTGTACTTTATAAGGAAACATTGCACATCTAGAAGCACCAGGCCAAAGTAAACATCGGTCGAAAAAAACGTTTATATTACTGTCCCATTTACAGAAGACTACGCAATTGAACGGATTGTCCATTTGTCCCGTACCTGTTAGGTTCACCTATCCTACTGCAAAGCTGAGCATAATTCAGGGGAAAATCAACCATAGACAAATCCAATAAATCAGTCACCTCCAGTTGTGCTGCAGTTCGCGGTGTCAATAAGACTGAGCACCGACCACATTAAGAAAAACTCGGCACTTCGAGGGCTTTCATTTTACGTAGGTTTCATCATCATAGAAACACGATATTAAGTAAAGTTAATATGCTGGCCTGTATTATGACATACAGTCAATCGAAGGTTAGTAACAATTTCGAGCGAACGAACGTGAGGGTGGTACCAATTGTGATGTTTCCCGCAGCCGACAGAAGCCGTTAAAGCCATAGAACGATACGTTCAGTTGTTCACAACAAGGGGCTATGTTCGCTATCAGTGCAGATTACAGTCCAATTTGTGCAAAACGGCACTGGGACCAGATCTTCACCGAAGAGGAAGAAAATGTAAAACCCGGAGCCGTAAACTCAGGTCAAGCCCAACCTGCTTTTCTCATCACGGGACCTTTCGCGGAGTGCCAAACACACCAGTCATCAAACAGACATGTTGCAAAATGCAATATCAGTGAAACAATAAAAACGATCGTGAATACGTAGCTTCATTTGGATTGTATTAGTTGTTGCACCTTTAAGGTAACTTTGTTGATCAGTTCGTTGTGGATGAAGTCAAAGAAGTTAACCGACGCTGTGGTGACTCCCAACAATGGCGAGCACTTTACTGTTTTGACATAGTCTTCCACAACATGAAGAATACGCGATGTGGGTACCCATGCTTGGTCTGTGTGCCGCAACGTAGCCTAAACAACACTATCATTTTATTTCAAAGAATCTATTAGTTTCCACTGAAAAAGTCGATTTTTTACAACTTTTGATCAATCAAGGGGTTTATTTCTAACGAAATAGCCCATTGACTAGATGGGGTGTTGTGTGGCTGCTACTTTATTAGATGACTGACACAGTGGGGAAACCAGATGGCATGAAATATCGTTGTCAGGAAATGCAGCCAGTGAATTCAAAAGAGAATCGAAACGACTGTTTGGATGTACTAGAGGGTATAGATATTCCGGATTCTCTAGTGCTGAAAGCCGATAAAGCAAGTCGTGTGACTGCTTGTATAGAACATCTTGGATTGAGTGAGTTTTGCATCAGTCTAGATCACAACTTCCAAATTGTAAACGAGAGTTGAAGGATCATAGAAAAAAATAACAACATTTCAATTTACACAAGGACTTTATTACGACAGGCAAATACAAACTGATTTTCGTTACGCCGGGGAGGGTTCACATTGCTTTTCCTCTGTACACAAATCCGACTCAGTCGAGGGTTTGCTCGCAACGGGTGGGATCAATTCAGCCAAATTATATTTCCGGAACCGATTGAAATCTTCCAACAGACTAACACAGGCCACATTGCGCAACACATTCACAAAAATCATCACAGACGGATCGGCTGGACAGATGCGCCAGGACGAGTCCAGGCCACGCACCGCACTGACCGTGCTTTCGATTGCCGTGTCTCGCGACAGGCGATCATAGTTACGGGCTTTGAACGAGACTAAGAATGTTTTCGGCCCGTCTAATGTTTCCTGTCGGGCTCTTGGAAGACCTACACGAGGGCAGAGCGGATGGACAGAAGAATCTGAAGGATTTATTGGGGGTTTCAGTTTCTCGAGAAGTTCACCATCTGATTTGGAGGTTGTCTCTTCTGACTCAGTTTGTTCCGACTGTTCCTTTTTTTCCGTATTGATCGATTTTACCTGATTGACTAGGTGACCAATGAACGATGCCCACAAAACTCGAACACATCGACTAAGTTCCGGTCCACTGGCATGGCACGTGGCCGCTACCGGAAGCACACGAAGTACATGACGTGACTCGACCACTTGATTGCGTAACATATGTTCGAAGATAGAGTGGACCAGTTCATTTGGAACGGCAGATTCCGCAAAGTGCGTGATAAACAAACAATTAGAAACACCACTCCGTGCCGCGTAGAAACTATGGCGCATTGAGTTGGTGACAGTGGGATCAGCACCGACAGAGGCGTTTTCTTGGCGCAACTGCTTCAGTATATCACCGTCGTCACTGTCATCACTTTTGTTGGTAATATCAGTTCGATCATCGACAGGAACTGAGGACGACACTGTGAGATCGGATGCTTCCATTGGGACTGTGTTGTTCTTTACCGTTGATTCACAATCGGATGCAGACCGGGACTCTGGACAAACACGTTTTAGAGCGTCGTTGAGCAGACGAAAAATCTCCATTGTGGCAAAGCGTTCGTGCTGATTACACGTGACCAAATAACCAGTCATACCTGGTTGCAAATGTTTCGGAATGTTTGACTGCTTTGGTCCCACACCGCAATCCATGTGTGCGCGTTTGGAACTGGCTGCACATTTTCGATAGTACGCTTTACGTTTTCGCTTATCTGCATCTCCTCGCATTCTGTTTGATGAAAGAGACGGTTTGAAGTGAGCTGAGGATAGATGATGAAAAGGTGGAATATAGGATTGTAGCGAGCAGTGATGACTGGCAGCGACAGAACAAAAACGACTGAACATGAAAAAGTTTACGATACGAATGGGTTGGAAGCATATATTGAGTGATTTCCAACACTTGATTGAATCTAATCAAAAACAACCAAATTTGTTGCCACCCCCATGTGACGACCACAATTGGAAATTAGTTAAATGATTGATGAAATGATTAACGAGAACATCCGCATGCAAACTCATTCGTTTGTGAATTCACGTGAAATTATCTAAAGAATATTGCCGTGTTGGATGTGCGGTTCAGGGATAAATGTTTCATCTCTCATTTCGAAGCTCCGCGGTTCGAGTCCTACAAGGGATACAAGATTCAGTATGCACCACTTAGAAGTTTTGGAAAAAAAGCAAACGGCTGGCCAGTCTTCTTTATCGACCACTACACAAAGTCTTGCACGAGTATAATGCATTGAAACACACGGAGACTAAATGAGCTCACAAGAAAACAGACCCACGAACTGATGTGTGTTTGCAAAGTGGCAACGACTTAGGAAAACCACAGACACTATTACTATACTGTGGGGTGGACCAATTCTCACACGATCTAGTATCGAAAACTGTCTGAGATCAACCATGAAACTCAAATTTGAAATAGAGTCAGTGGTTGGAATACCTGAAATGGTGATTAATATATCCGAAAACTCCGGTGTAGTTGGGATACGATGCTTTCCCTGTGATGGTGAGTATTTAGAGACTGTACACCTTTAGCTGACGGAGGAGGGGGGGGGGTTGGGTACATGCACAAAGTTTCTTCTGAATTGGTTTTATGGTCTATCCCCGTAACTTGGACAAAGATGTCGTTAGAGATATTAACCGTTACACTTTAACTTGGTGGTGGTGTTAATGCATTTTGGCAAAAACCTAGCTATGCACCACGAACACAGCCGAACATTGAGGGTACAATACAGAATAGCTTATCTCGGACCATCTGTGTTTTACTGGTATGCGATTTACCAAAGGTGACATGCGGAACTGGCGACAATCGGTGTGAAATGCCGCGCTTTTAGCATAACCCAATCATTCCCATGAAACTCTCAAGGTGGGGACTATCTTAACACGGAACCGTTGTGGATAGCTCATATGGAAAGATGCATATTCTCGAATCGCATTCCGAAATCAATCTATTGGCGGACTTTCCATACTCTGTTTATGTGAATAGTATGCATGTACGTCAAGTGAAACGCGACTGTGGTAGGTAGAACACAACGGAACATGTCTTCAATACAGTCAGGGGAAAATATGGGGATAAGAGATTTTGCGGTAGTAGAGCATAACGACAAAACACCCTCGAAACTCTCATGCATACGANCGATCAAAAACAATGGAATAGGAACAACACAAACTCTCGTTGAGAGTGTCGAGTAGCTACTGTTCACACAATCGGAGATGACTCACATATAAGGAAAAAACAGAATGGTTCAATCAAATTATGTATTTCCGTAAAATATAATGATCACTAGGGAAGCTGTAGAATTCTCGTCATCATAGGAAAATAGCTAACGTCGGAAAAAAGTCAGGATGTGACCGAAAGTCGTGTAAATAAAAAAAAAACTAGAATGAATGGGAGGAGTAGCACAAACCTACGATACATTCTGAGGTATATGGGGCTTTGTGGTTGCGGTCTCGCCTGACGGCTGCTGGGGCTGCGGTTCCCGCGAAACTAACGTGTTTTGTGCCCGAATCGTCCCCAGAATCTGCCGGGCTCCGGAATCAAGAAGACGTTTGGCTAAAGCACGACCCAAAGATTCCGCTCGAGCCATACGAAGACGAGCTACCGCACAGATAGGTTTCACTTGCACGCCCATAAACAAGGCATCCTGATCCTCGGCCATACGGAGTTCAGCCTGACAGTCGGGAAGGCGCGATAGCAACAGTCATTGAGGAGCGATAAGTAACGTCAACATTGGATGTTATGAAGAGCAATTTGGTTTGAACGCACAATTTTCCAAGCATGACTCCTCACCAGCAGAGGAAGCGATTAAACGTAAAGCGGATTCAATGGGAGATTAAGCACGTGGAAGGGAAAAATAAACTGAAGTCAACTAAGATATTCACATCCATCCATAAGTACATTTCATTATGTTTCAAGTTAAGCACAGCCAATTACATGAAAATTGGTGACTGTACTTCCAAGTGGCCTAAGTCAAAAATGGGGTAATTTTACTTTCGCCACCTGAAGCCTTCAACTAGAAAGATTAATCATGCAAGGTTGCAGGATGGAGCTCATAGGTTGCAATCCACTAAGAGCCGGTATCCAATTGATTGGATTATACGCGTTTTGGGAGGGGTCAGGTATTCGAACTGGTGACCACTGACCACTGCCCCCAACTAGAGGGGTATAGATGTGGTTTGAATCAGGTGAACTATCGGTGGTTCACCAACCCGGTTATATTTCTGGATGCTGGCTTTTCGTCATCCCCATTAGTGTGCGGGACGGGGGGGGGGGGGGGC